ATWTGTGTGTTTGTATGTGTACATGCATACTGKATTTTTGTGTGCTTGTCTATATGCATATTTGTGTGTATATGTATGTATGTGGSTATGTATGTGTGTGTGCATGTGTATATGTATATATGTATCTGTGCATGTATGTGTGCATTTGTATATGTATATATGTATGTGTATTTGTGTGAGCTTGTGCATATATATACCTGTGTGTGTATGAATATGTGCATGTGTATATGTATATGAGTGTATGTGTATATGTATATATGGTGTATTTTGGGGGTGGTGGTGGTTAAGTCTGTTCTCCTGGGGTTTTGTGTGTGTGTGTGTGTGTGTGTTTATGAGTGATGGACACTTGTTGGACTGTTAGGTATATTGTGTCCAAATTTTGTGTCAATTCGTCCAGTAGTTTTTTAATTATGTTAATCCCACAAACGAACATTACATTTTTATATATATAGAGACGATAGCTAGATAGATTATATAAACACACGAACGCACACAGAGACACACACACACAAACACACCCTGACAATTAAATCAGAATAGTGGAAGAAAAGATTAAATTGGAAATGAAAGCAAAGGCAACTCCAAATCCAAGTTCTGCCACATGCATAAATTATGCAAATGCACACATTTATTCCGGAAGTTCCCTCGTTCTGAATAATGCATTCTCCTTTCTGCTTGCAGTCAGGAAGGGGTCAGGCCCCCCAACCTCTACCTTTGGCCGCTGGAAATATTACCCGCTTTGGAGCCTTTCCAGATAGAAATGCGAGGAATATCCATGTCATTTTGAGGCTCCTCATGAAAACCTAGTTTCCCCGGAGGCTGAACAAGCACAGCAGCACAAAATCGTGGCAAATGAGTTAAAAGAGCAGCAGAGCCGTGCAGAATAACCCTTTGGGTTTTTGTGAGTTTTCCGCACTGCATGGCCATGTTCCAGTGGCATTCTCTCCTGACATTTCGCCTGCATCAATGGAAGGCATCCTCAGAGGTTGTGAGGTCTGCTGGAAACTAGGAAAATGGGATATATATATCTGTGGAATAATGTCCAAGG